AACTTCTTCAATTTCTCTATCCCCTCCTTGATGCAGTTTCCTCAGGTATGGCCTCTTGCTGTTGAAGATGATCTGCAGTCATCAGTGGTTAGTTCTTCATTGTCCTCCTTCACCAATCTTACCTCATCCTCCCCACTAACCTCCAAACCCAAGGACTTTCCAATGCCACAAGGGATTCTCAACTGGGCATAGGATTCCCAGGGTTAGCATCAATCCCTTCAAAATCCCTTTTGTCTACACATTCTGGCAACAGTTTTCTCCCCAAAAAGGCCAGGAGTTCAAGATCCTCTTAGTCACTTCCTCCCAAGCCTTACCTATAATGTTAACACAATTGAGGATGCTAAAGTGATCTCTCCAAAACTCCGTATAGTCAGTAGAGTTTCTGGAGGTCACTACCAAAGCACCTTTCAAACATGGCTTTTGTGTACAGTTTCTTGATGTTGGAAATGAACTGATGGTCCATGGGTGCAGGTAGAGGAGGTGGTATAGGAGGCAAAAACTTGACCTAATTGAAGCTCATTTTCCGCAGAAAAGTCGCTTGCACGTTGAAGGCTTGACCAGGAGATTGTCTAATTACAGGGGCACTTAAGGTCTAATTTCTTTTCAGTTAGTAATTTTCACAGTGGGGCATATGCATGGTGTAACAGTCATAGAAAAAGTCCCTAGTGACCCTTGCCTTTTCTGTTTGCCCTCAAGGACAAACAAATTAGCTTGAGGACATTGTTTTTTTCCTGAACACTCTGGGGAGTTTCAGAGTGATACACCACTAAAGGCATCACTTTGCAATCACCACTAGCCTATGGGCCACACATCAACAGAGTATGCCTGTATTCATAGGCTTATGTCCTGGAGAGCCTTTTCCTATGAGTAATGTAGGTCCTGCTTGTGCCCGTCTTTTTCTTCCAAAACAGGCTGTTTCGTTCACAATTAAACACTTGTTCAGGTTTCGTCCATCACTGTTTATGTTCTCTTGAATTCCTGCACATTTTTTTCAGCCGCCTTAGTGGTTGAGTGGCAGCTTCACCATGCCTTCATCAACTATGTATGCACTTACGATTCTTTAAATCTCTCAAAACCAAACTTTGCTGGCCTTAAATTCACTCAAACACCACTAATTGCATGCATTTTCTAATTAAATCCTCATGCAACTTCATAGACTTTATCAATTATGAATCGCTTGAGAGATGCTATCTCCTGCTATCTGTTTTTCGGTTTATCCACACCAATAACAGTCTTTCAACATCTGCCCTCTACACTTGCGATCTCTGTTTCAAAAGCAAAGTAAGTTGCACCTTTGGCAAGAACAGCTTCTTGGCTGCCGTTTTCTTGACCACAATAGTAGCGATGGTTGATTGGGGGGTTTTTGTGTACAACCTGGCCAGCACGGAGACACGCACTCACTTTCTACTTAGCAATGGATCTCTTTCTTCATATCCATAGTAATTCTCACCCTTTTTGCTGTAGGGGTTGGCACTAGAAGCTTTCTTGGGGCCCATTGGTGACTATTTTGCAGGTGCACACTAAAAAGGCTGTTGATTTAATATGGAATGTTCTGATTGTATGTGGAGCGACCGCAGTGGTTGGCTTGTAAACACTGGGCACCAGATTAGTGAGCACAAGTGAGGCGGGCTCATGGCCGCACGTGACGCGTTGTCGAACGAATCGCGTTCAGTGAGTTTTATAGCACAGCGAGGCAAAAATTTTTGTGTTAAACTGTCCCCCCACCCCACCCCCCCCCCCCCCCCCCCCCCCCCCCATCTATCGCTAGGCGGTTTAATGTTATGCAATGCATTAGTTAGGCGAGGGTCCAATGTATTGTGTTTAAAAGGGTTCTTTTATGGCTTGTAATAATAACAGAAGTTTATGAGTTTAAAAAGTTTCACTAGTTTCATAGCAGAAGAAACCTGTTTCATTTGTAACAAAATCATTTTCTTCAAACAAACCAGCCATATCCCATGAAGCAGGGTGTCCCCAAACAGAAAACGTGAAGTTTCTCATTTTAACTTTAGTAATGTATACAGGAGAAATGGTTACCTAATTCTCTCTCCCAGCATTTTAGTCGGCCCTCTTATGACACGCCTGGCTTATGGTGGAAGATTTAGTTCCACTTACCATGGAAATATGATGAATAAACAAGAACAAGAAAATAGTAAGAAAATTTTTCGGGAGAAAAATGGCGTGTATATATATATATATATAAATATATATATATTTTTTTTTTTGTTTTATTATCACACCGGCAGATTAACACACCAATATTATATAATATATATATATATATATATATATATATATATTATATGCCTGGTACGTGCATGTGTAGTGTGACCTCAGTGTAGGTAGAAGTAAGCAAGATGTACCTGAAATCTATGCTTGTTTGAGACAGAAAAAAAGACACCAGCAATCCTACCATCATGTAAAATAATTACAGGCTTCTGTTTTACACTCATTTGGCAGGATGGTAGTAACTCCCTGGGCAATAGTGTTACTAACCTACTACCTAGGTTGTGTAACAAAAAAGTTTTTTTTTTTTATATCATGTATCCTGCAATTCTAGAATACAGCATATAACTAACTCAGTTGTTTATAATCCACAGTTATATGGGAACAACAACAAAGCCCCATTGTGTCCAGACAATATCTGGTCTTGCAAGAAACATCAGAGAAAATGTCTTTTTAACAACCCCTGATAACCTTCTTTTTTACTTTTATTATTAACCAATGAAACAACTTTGAATGTGTTGTAATGGATTTTATTTTAAAAAATATATTGGTGATAAAAAATATAATGTATTAATTGTGAAGATATCTTCAAGAAATCTTATTGAAAAACACTTCTGAGATCTCAGGGAATATATCAGCAACTTAAAACTTTATAACAATAATGTTAATAATACACACTAGAGTTTATTTAGAAAGTAAACCTTATCAGTGTACTTGAGAGTTCATCTACGATGTAAACCATATCAGTTTTAATTTTATTATATTTATGGAGAGTGCTAAACCTGTAGGGCATACAGCACCTGGGGGGAAAAAATGGAAGGAAGTCAGGTTCAGTCCAGTAAAGGGGAGCTCGGGCTCAGTTCCTTGGATCATGAGCCCCTCAGAGGCATCCAGAAACCCCCCTTGAAGGGATATCAGTGTTCAGTGTGTCTGAAATGTTTTAGCAAAAAATTGTCATTAACAGTACACATGATGAGTTCACACAGGAGACGAAACCTTATTATCAGTGTCAAGAATGTTAAAATGTTTAGCAGTAAAGGTTAATCTTGTAAAGCACAAAAAAGTTAATAGGAGAAGAAGCCTTCTGGTGATAGAATGTCTTAATGTTTTACAGTAAAGATAATCTTGTAAAGCATGAGAAAGTTCATACAGGAGAGAAACCTTATGAGTGTTCAGAATGTCTGAAATGCTTCAGCAGTAAAGATAGTCTTGCAAAGCACAAGAAAATTCACACAGGAGAAAAGAGTTCCCAGTGTTCAGAATGCTTTAAACGTTTTATAGTAACCAATTGATCTTGTGTTACACGTGAGAGTTCATACAGGAGAGGAAGCCTTACCAGTGTTCAGTGTGTCTGAAACGTTTTAGCAATAAAAGTAATCTTGCAAAGCACAATAGAATTCATACAGGAGAGGAGCCTTATCAGTGTTCAGAATGCTCAAAATGTTTTAGCAATAAAAGTTATCTAGTAATACACACAAGAATTCATACAGGAGAGAGGCCTTACCAGTGCTCTGAGTGCCCAAAATCTTTCAGAAATAAAAGTGATCTTATAGTACACATGAGAGTTCACACTGGAGAGAAACCTTACCAGTGTTCAGAATGTCTGAAACGTTTTAGCAGTAAAGGTAATCTTGTAATGCATGAGAAAATTCATACAGGAGAGAAGCCTTATCAGTGTTCAGAATGCTCAAAATGTTTTAGCAATAAAGGTTATCTTGTAAGACACAAAAAAAGTCACACAGGAGAGGAACCTTATGAGTGTTCAGAGTGTTCAAAATGTTTTAGTAATAAAAATCATTTTGTAATACACATGAGAGTTCATACAGGAGAGAAGCCATATGAGTGTTCAGAATGTCTGAAATGTTTTAGCAATAAAAGTCATCTTGTAAGACACAACAAAATTCATACTGGAGAGGAGCCTTATGAGTGTTCAGAATGCTTGAAATGTTTTAGCTATGAAAGTGATCTTGTAATACACATGAGAGTTCACACAGGAGAGAAGCCTTATCAGTGTTCAGAATGCCTAAAATGTTTTAGCAGTAAAGGTTATCTTGTAAAACACATGAGAGCTCATACAGGAGATAAACCATATCAGTGTTCAGAGTGTCAGAAACGCTTTTGCCAAAGAAGGAGTCTTGTAAAACATGAGAAAAATCATTCAATAAAACAGTCTCATCAGAGTCAGGTTTGAAATGTTTTATCGAGAAACATGTTCTTGAGAGTCATACAGTTCATAAAAGAGATAAGCATATCAGTATTCAGAGTGAATGAATTGTTTTAGCAGAAAAAGCTATATAGTATAACATGAACAAGTTCATGTAGGAAAATAAACCAAATATATGTGTGAGAGAAAACACCAGCAAGGTTGAGATAAAGATAAAGTTTTTTTTTTTTTTTTTTTTTTTATGTTTAAAAGCAATAAAAAATAACTTTCTACCTCAATCTCTTGCTACCCTCTACCCACACTATCCCCTGCCCTGCTGTTTTCTGTAACCTACTGATCATCCCTCCCCCTTCTGCCGCCCAATACCCTCGCATCCTTCCCTACCCTGCAGCGCTGTATAGCCCTTGTCTCTTCAAGGGAGGTCCTTGGCGTGGTGAGAGGCTTCATGGTTGAGGAATTAGACCTGTCTTTAATACTTCCACAGCCCACCCCCCCCCCCCCCCCCCCCCCACCCCCCCACCCCCCCCCCCCCCCCCCCCCCCCCCCCCCCCCACCCCCCCCACCCCCCCACCCCCCCCCCCCCCCCCCCCCCTCCCCCCCCCCCCCCCCCCCCACCCCCCACCCCCCCCCCCCCCCCCACCCCCCCCCCCCCCCCCCCCCCCCCCCCCCCCCCCCCCCCCCCCCACCCCACCCCACCCCACCCCCCCCCCCCCCCCCCCCCCCCCCCCTCCGAACCTAATCGCACTTATACATATTCTCCCTCCCTATCCATCCTCCCCTTTTTCCCATTTCCTCCTACTCTCCACCACCCCTCCCTTTTGCCTTCCTCTTTTTAGGCCTTTGGGATTTCTCCCACAGGTACACACTAGTTATAGTAGGGGAAAGACTAGACACCGGGCTACCAACCGGCTCCATCCCCATTGTTGAAGGTTCTTGTCGTGTCAGCCTGCCAACTACCTCCAGGTGGCTTAGTTTGCCGTGGAATCTGAACGCCTGGGGATGTCCTATCCACACTGATCCTCTCCGGTATCCGGAGGAGCTTTGGGTTTGTCTTCGGGCGACGCTGTGTATGTTGAATCTCTGGAAGCCACCTTCGGATTCCGTGTCCGGTTTCTCTTTCCCCCCCCTCCCCCACCCCCCCCCCCCCCCCCCCCCCCCCCCCCCGCCCCTCCCCACCCCCCGTCAGAAACACACACACACCACGCCCCCCCCCCCCCCCCCCCACCCCCCCCCCCCCCCCCCCCCCCTCCCCCCCACCCCCCACCCCCCCCCCCCCCCCCCCACACCCCCCGGGTATGCTTTGTGGCGGGGAATTATCCGGGCCGCCCTCTCTTTGGACCACCGAGATAGCTCGCAGATGTGAGGTTGCTATCACGGGATTGCTGTTTCTGGCATAATTGATGGGTAGGGTATGGCATGGGCTCCATGCTGCATCTGCATACTAGCTGTGCTGAGGTCCTCTTGGGGCGAAGAGGGGGAGATTTACGGCCACTTTTCATTCCTCCCCACTCCCCTTTTTTATTGTTTTTTATTTTTTCGCTCTCTTACTTCTTTCTTTTTTTTTCTTAAAAAACAAAAAGCAAAGAGTAACCTAACCAAGGAGAACCCAATCCATGAACCCCTACCCCGGGCCCTTCTTGATTACCGCCACCAATTCTGGACCCTGCCTTGTGTTTTAAGACCCCTTTCGGGACACTCCTGATGCCCCTGTACATCTGGTGGTGCTGTTTCCTCACCCGACTTCAGATACCGGGGCTTCGACTACTCCTTCGATTTGTCTGAACTCCGCTGCTCCTATGACTATGCTTCCGGTTCTCCCTCTATGGTACGGCAATTTTTCGAATCGCCCGCCCAGTTTCACGCCGGACCAACTTCCGGTCTACTCCTAAACGCCAACGTCAATCTCCTGATGATGCTCCTTCGTTCCTTCCCATTCTACATGGAAAAGACCGACACATCAAAGCACTCCCTCTCCACGCTCAGTTTCGGACCACACAATGGACTAAGTTCTTACATTAAGGGACGATTCTTCTGCCTACCTTTTGGACCATAGTATTGGCAAAGCAGCTCCTGCGTCATGTTGGTAGAGATATTTCATTTAATGCTCTCAAGAGCGGTTACGCGCATCGTCATTGTCCAGAATGCTACCCAAAGCTCATGATCTTTCATCCTTTTGATATCGATAATAATCCTTTCATCACTATTGAAAAACATCTTTTCACAATTCTTGTAGTGGTACTGTCATTCTGCCCTCATACTTCAGCTCCAAACAGAATTCCAAGTCATGTGGCATGACATTCTTGAACAGATGGAACTCAGGTCTCCCAATCCTCAAAGTAGACAATTATGTCCTTCCTGCCCGGGGGCGGTGACGTTACCTTTGCAATGTTGGCTCGTTTAACTTTTGACAGCCCGGAACTCCCGTCGTCTGTATATGTCGCGGAGACATCGGTTACAAGTTCGAAAGGTGATTACACTGCAACAATGTAGAAATTGCTGGGTTTTGGTTTCACCCAGCAAATATTGCAGCTCTATGGAAGAATGCCCAGGTCTGTGGTGCCGACGACCATTCTAATACATCTTGCAGTCAACATCCATCTTGCCTTAATTGTAATGGAAGGCTCGCCCTTCGTTTACTCCCGCCATTGCCAGGTCTACTAACATGGAACGTGCAAATCCGTTGCCTCAATGAGGCAGAAGGTCTCCCTTATGATTGGCAGTTAATCATCTCCGCCTGCAAGGAGACTACCCCGTGTATCTTTTTCTAGTGGTTTCCTAAACATCACCCCACTTCTGGGGGTCTCCATCTTCTGCAGCCCTCTGTAATTAACCCCTCCCATAGCCACTCCGGCATAATCCTTTTGCTGTCCTTGGCCTATGACGTCCGACTACAAACTCAGTTTGTTCTACACATCTTCGCGTCCTTCCTCACAAGCCCCAGTATCACAAGACATCGTATGACACCTAAAACCAATCGCCCCTCTAATTCTCAGAAGTCCAAAAACTGTGCCAACCCTGTGTTTTAAAAAGGACCGTGAGAAAATACTATCGAAATACTACGTACCACAGTCAGCATTGCCTTACTGCACCACCGTAGCTGTGCTGCACACGTAAGCTGTTGCTGCACCCACCGTTTCAGCTGTACTACCTCGAAGATGTGGAGAGACTGATGTTGGTGTGGCTTAATGAGAAACAGTTACCGAGAAAACAATTACCCCAATGGGTTAGCCACCAGGATAACCCATGAACGTCAGTGAGTCATCGAGGACTGTCTAACTTATTTCCAATTGGGGTCCTTAATCTTGTCCCAGGATGCGACCACACCAGTCAACTAACACCAGGGTGAACAGGAAAAAATGCTTGGAAACTAGTGCCATATTGCTGAAATTTAAAGGTCAGCAAAGGTTGCGTTTGAGAGATTAAGCATTGTAGTGGTATAACAGTGTGCTAAGCATGGTGATGTATGATGAAGCTGAATAAATTCCAACCCCAACAAGTGTTTATTTGTGACGAAACAGGCTGTTTGGAAGAAAGAAAATGCCAAAACAGGGACCTACATTACTCAGGAGGAAAAGGCAACTCCCGGACACAACCTAGAAAGACAGGTCTAACTTTCTTGTTTTGATGTACTGCTTATTGGGGTTGCAAAAGTGAAGCCTTTACTCATGTATCACTGAAATCCCAGAGTGTTCAGGGTAAAACAGTGTCTCATCATCATCATTCTCTACAATTAAGGTAAGTGTCATTTTAACATTTATTTTATAGTTATTGTGCATGTCTCATTGTTTTCTTTGTAGGGAACTGTATATTTCATGAAAAAAAAATTATTTTCTTTAATGCTTTTGGCTGTCTGGAACAGATTAATTGGATTTCCATTATTTCTTATGGGGAAAAAATTAATTGGCTAACGATAATTTCTCTAACGATGAGCTCTCAGGAAGGATTTTAATATCGTTAGGCGAGGGTCCACTGTATCTCAAAAAACTCATATGTTGGGACACTCATAAGTCGAGGTTCCACTGTATTTTTCTAAAGTTATCCCCTAGTAGTTGGTGATGGACTAGAGAAAACATAATTCTTCTGACATTCCTACAAGCCACTTGGTGGGTGTATGTATCATGTTTGTGTGTTACATAAGTGTTGCTATATAATTGGAAACTAAATATCATAGATGGATTATGAAATGTCTATATTATTTAATGTAATATATGAACATTTTAATGCACCCAAGAGATTCTTCTTCTTCTCTCTTTATATTTTTATTAATATTATTATTTTTATTATTATATAAATTTCATAATGTCAAATTGTAACCTTGCAGGAAATAAACTTTGTTGTTTTGTTATATTTTTACTATTATATGTATCTACAAGAGTAAAGAAACTCTTAATGATTTTAAACCTTCTTTCAGGATCCAGAGGCCAAATCTCAAAGTGACAGCCAGGGTCCAAGGGAATTAAAAAAAAAAAAATCAGGATATAAAGATAATATTTTTTATATGGCAATAAACAAACAAAAAACTTTTTTGACGTACTTTTCCAAGATTATAGGAGGGTGAAGTTAGTTGGCCACAATGGACTGGGTGGCAGCAGCATCTGCAACTTCCGTAAAGTCGCCAATTTTTTATTTTACTGGTTTGTTTCCTTTTTCTATACTGCTTTTGTCTATTTACCAGTAACATTCGTGGCCTGAAGAGACCAATGTATGCATAATGGTATATATCGTCACTCGTTGTATTCAAGACAATAACTGCAATATATTTTCATCTTTATTTGTTTTAAAATAGTTAATTGCTACAAACAAAAAACTGAAAAAATGTTGTACAGGTCTCCTCAACATTCACGTTTTCAGCTTTCGCGGGCTTCAAGGATTCGCGTTGAATTCCCAACTGCCAGATTCCCAGCACCAAATTCCCAGCCGCCAAATCTATTCAAGTTCTTCCCGCCCATGCGAGTCGCCTACTACCCGCCAACCGACCCCCGCACGGGCAGCCGCCCTCCACACCAGTGTGAGTTTGATTGTTTGTTTTTCATTATTGTTTCCTATTAATAACTACAGTATAAATAATGTAAACCATTTCATGACTGTATATTGGAATGGCCTATTCGGACAGGTATTAGAATAGGTGACATCATGTATGTTTATCTTGAAACACAAGCAAAGAATTCAAAAACATATCGCTACTGCTAATAATACCAATAATAATAATAATAATAATAATAATAATATAAAAAATACGATATAATTAGAAGAGGAATTTGTACAAAAATATGAGGGAGTGGTTGGACCCATCGTCAGTGAGGCTTTGTTTATGCTTGACGTGAGCCAATTAGTCTCCTGCTCTTCCAAACATTTAACAATAATTCATTGTGTTTGTGCTGTAGATTGAGTGCGACAGGAGTGGTAGAGCAGTGGTTGAGCATGCGATTGAGGCAGTGGTTGAGGCAGCTGTTGAGGCAGCTGTTTGTTGAGGCGGCAGCGATTGAGGCAGTGGTTGAGGCAGCTGTTGAGGGCAGCGATTGAAGCAGTGGTAGAGGCAGCTGTTGAGGCAGTATTGAGGCAGTGGGTGGACGGGCTGTTGAGGCAGCGATTGAGCCAGTGGGTGAGAGCAGCTGATGAAGAAGCGCTGAGGTAGTGCGTGGAGGCAGATGTAGAGGCAGCGATTGAGGCAGTGGATGAGGGCAGCTGATGAGGCAGCAATTGAGAAGTGGGTTGAGGCACTGTTGGAGGAAGCGATTGAGGCAGTGTTGAGGCAGCTGTTGAAGAAGCGATATTGAGCGCAGTGGGTGAGGCAGCGGTTGATCCGTGAGCGATTGAGGCAGTGTTGAGGCAGAGGTTGGGCAGTGGTATTTAATAACATACATTTGTTATTAATAATAATAATAACTCATGTTATTAATATATGTACTACAAACAGGCCCCGCTTTACGGCGTTTCACTTTACGGCGTTCCGCTTTAAGGTCATTTCAAATTATGACCAAAACTCGCTATAACGGCTCCCCCCACCTGACTTTCTAATACGGTCCACGCGCCCCCACCTGTTTGTTTACATTCTTTGTGAGCTCAGTAAGCACTCTAAGTCTTCCATTTTAGTCTGGAAACTCCAAAATATCAAATGTTTTTTAAAGTTATTTCATATTTATATATTACTCTGATAATTATACTTATGTTATACCTGTACTTAACTAAACTTAGATTCTGTGCTGGCATGCAGGTACACATTAAAATCAGTAAGAGTGTCTTATGTCTCCAGA